AGACGTGCTAATTTACTGGGCAGACAGCAAATTTAAGGAACATGCACAGGAAGAGACTCTCCCAGCAACCACTTAGACGCCCTTGATCACCACAAAGACACTGGGGCTGCCAGGCAGGTCCCGCTTCTTCCTCCACAGCAACGCGACCCTTTTCGAACAGACACAGGGCAGAAAAACCTAGCAACCCAGAGAAACTCCAATGAGGTGATAAAGTCAGAGGTCCCATAAATGCTTCCAATTATATTTTAGACAATGGCTCTCACAAGACTCTGAGAAGAATTTTAAAGTTTGAGCTAGGCTTTTAATACATTGCCACCTTTGAAATGAAGTTTTAACGAGCTACCTTCTAAATAACTCACTGGACACTGGCCACTCTAGACGGCAACTCGCTGGGCCTTCCCGTCAGCAGGCTCCTTAGGGTGCTCAGATTCAAGGACACACCTGCTGGTGTTTCAGGTTTCTGTTCACATTTTATACATCAGAAAGAATTAACCAAGTACTGTAAGATTCTGCCTACTGAGCCAATGTCTAGAAGATCGGAGTCTGGCCCGGGAAGGCCAGGTGTGGATGCAGCACTGTACAGACGCCTGGAGGCTTTGGGTATCAGCTCCACTGAGGACAACAGAATTAAATCCTGAGCATGACAGCAACCTGGCACGTTCCCATTCTGTCCAGTGGGTGCCTCTTCTAACCCACCAGAGGTAAGCCCACCTGCCCAAGCTCCTGCATTTCCCTGCCTCAGAGCCAGCTGCCCACTCTTCTGCCCACGGAGGACTGGGAGACAGGAGCGGCAGAGGGTGGGAAGCCAGGCTGGGTGGGGCCTGGCCCACCCCTGGCTCTCCCAGGGAATGGATGGTCTGGCTCAAGGAGGCTCAAGGGTCAGGCCTGGAACTTGGCCCAGCCTGGAGTGCCTGAAGGCAGAAGGGATCCAGGAAAAGGGCACTGGAGAGGGGCAGTGGACCCGGTGGCACATGGGGGAGGTGAATGGGGATCTGCAGCTGGGACAGTGTAACAATAACGGGATCTGCCCTGATGCTTATGCCCACCTTTTAGAATAACGAGGTGTCTGCACGTGTTCCATTAATGGTCTGATTTACACCCTTAGATACTTAGGCAACTGTCTAATTCTTCTTTGTTTCTCTGGCAGCACAAGATAATTTCCATTTCTTACAGTGATTCTCCACAAAGGCTTAAAAGAATAAATGAATAAAAGAGAAAGAAGAGAGAAAGGAGGAAAGGAAGGGAGGGAGGGAGGGACAGAGAAAGGAAAGGAAGGAAAGAAGGGAGGCACGGGGGAAGGCAGGCTGGGCCCCAGGAGCCAGCGACAGCCATGTGCTGCTCTGGCCCTGTGGCAACAGGAGCCGCTGGCTGGGGTGGAGGTCGGGCTCTGCAGGGTCTAGGGGAGAGCGATGCATCAAGAGACCAACCGTGCGGTCTGCCTGGCCAGGCGCACAGACTGCCGAGCAGTGTGCCAAGGTGCTAATCCTGGATTTATTACCACTTGCCGGGCGACCTTAGACAAACCACTTAACGCAACCCTAGATAATGTCACCAAGTCTTCAGCTTGTAGGACCATCACTGATCCTGCGTCACCACTATCAGGGCTGCAGTGAAAACGCCAGTGCTGGCAGGAGTGCAGCTGCGAGGGGAGGCAGGAGGGCATGTGGATTTCCTCTTTTTATGGCGATTTTTCTCAGCCAAGCCTAAAGTACACCCAAAAGTCTGGAGCGGGGGACCCAGCCGATGGGGGAAGCACTGTAGGTTTCTTTCTCTGCAAGGCCGAGGAAATGGAACTTAATGGGTAGCTTAGATTCCCACACCCTAAATGGCATCGTGATTGGGGCAGGGTCGGCACATGAGCACCCTGGGGATGTGCGGTGAGACACAGGCATCCCCAGGGGCAGGAACAAAATTCATTTCCTCCAGGGTGCACATTCTCCATCTGGAGAGCTTATAAACTGCACGAACACAAGAGTCCCTTGGAGTTGCAGAGACCACATCAGAGTGGCAAGTTCGGCCTTCGATGACAGCCAAGGTTAGGAGGGTTTAATGTGCAGACTAACACAGTCTACCAAGGCTGGAGGGAGAATTTCCGAGCTTCTTTCCAGACCTTCTGCCCCAAAGCTGCAGGATGTACCGCACCATGAGCTGTGTGTGGGACAGGGTGATGGCCTGGCACGGGGCGGGGGTCTTTGGCCCTGGGTGCTGTCCTGGGTGAGCTATGCACCCCATCCCCCAAATTCCTATGTTGAAACCCTAAGCTGCAGTGTATCAGTGTGGCTGTATTTGGAGACGGAGCCTTCAAAGAGGTGACTATGCTAAAATGCAGCTTTAACTTGGCTCTTAATCCAGTCTGACTGCTGTCCCTATAAAAAGAGACCATTTGGAGCCAGGCACTGGGAGCCTGGGGCAGGAAGATCACAGCTTCTAAACCAGCATGGGCAACTTAGTAACTTAATGAGACCCTATCTCAAAATTTAGAAAAAGGGTCGAGGATGCAGCTCTGAGGCTTTGAGCTCCATTCCCCAATACCAAGGAAGGTGGAGAGGAGATTGGAACTCCGGCTGGCCAGGCCTGGCCATGCACAGAGGACACAGTGGAAAGGCGGCTGCCCCGCCAAGGCAGGTGCTCAGCAGAGCCTGAACCTGCCCAGGCAACCTCAGGATGCGAGAGAGTGCTGCTTGTTCTAAAAGCCCAGCGCAGAGCTTTGTTCACACAGCGCTGGGGACCCGATTCGGAGGGCAGGGCTCTGAAGGTCCTGGCTCTGCTGCAGCAGCAGCTGGGAACAGCAGCTGTTCATGAGAAGGGTTAGAAAACCTCACTGCAGAGTCAGCCGTCCACCTGGGACACTGCTAGGAGAAGTTCAAGCCCAGCCTGGGTGACTCAATGAGGCCCTGTCTCAAAATAAGGACATGAAAACGTCCGGGGATGCAGCTCAGGGCAAGACTCTGGGTTCAACCTCCAGTACTGCAAACAAATAAATGGATACAAATTTTGAAGCTATGATCCACCTGGCAGCCATTCAGTTATTTGCAAGACAGTGGGACAGTGGGCTTGGAAGGTCTTGGAGGGACACTGGGCAGAACAGGGAGGACAGGGGAGGGGCGCTTCGTCCTCACTGTGGATTCTGCCTCGATTGGCCTTCTGCTTGGACACAGATGTGTTCTGCACTATGAGCCCTTACCCCTGGCAGTGTGTCAGGCAGAAGGAAACTTTCCCGCCCCAGCCTCAATGCTTCCCTGCTTTGGCCTGTCACACATTTGTACACACAGCCTCTCCAGGCTGGTGTAAGGGTGGGAGATGGGGAGGCCCTGTTTCATGTGGTCCTACAAAGGAAGGATGGGGCTCAGGACTCCAGCCATGAGCTATCATCTGAAGCAGCTCTGGAGTTGACCTTGGGGACAGCTAAACGAGAGGCAAAGTCACCGCAAGAACGAGTCAAGGACCCGTGGGTGAAGGGATAGTGTAAATTTCCTCCTGAGATCCATTTCACACCCCATTTTGTTCCAGAAGAATGTTTTTGGGAAGTTGTGGGTGACCTAAAAGTCTTCAGAGCTCCCCAGAAACTTTCCCCTGAACGTCCACTGCACCTGCCAACCTTGATGTTAACTTGTCAGATGTTTTTGTTGACCTGATGTCCCCAAGAGTCTGGTGAACAGATCACAACTTATCACCCTCTGAGGTCTGGCACATGCATCTCTCAGAAAACCGGAAGGCACTAAACCATCTGCTTGGGATATACATGTGTGCATATATGTCCACAGAGTTCTAAAAGGAATTTCTAGCAGGCAGGCTTTTATCTTCAACATAGAAAGGTTGAGGGCTGACAGGAAGTCATGGGAAATGGAACCCTGTCTGGTCTCGATTTCAAACGTTTTGGGAAGAGTCAAGCATGAACACACCAGTTAGTATTTTCCTTCCCTCCTTCCCACACAACTTGTTCCCTTTGAGGATCTTCTAGGAAATCATCTTTGGGTTTGCTCAGATCTGACAAATATATTATTGTTCTTCGGCTGGTATCTCACGTGCTCTCTCTGGTCATTACTGTCAGTTGTGATTTGGAAGAACCTGTGATGTAAATTCACAAATAAGCTTAAAAATAAGTTTACGCAGCTCCGGTTCTTTGGAAGAAAGATGCTACTGTGGCCATCACTGCATGTGATTATGATTATATTATAATTTAACCCCTATTGGTCATTAGAGCATCAATTTAAAGAAATAAACAGCTATGATACAAATCAGGGATTCTAAGAAGGAATTTAAAATTAATCTTATCAAGTGTTGTATTTTTTCATAAGCCCATTCCTACTTGGTTGGATGCTATATTAATAATATTTAATATTTATGTTACAATAATGCCCCAAACTGCAATTAAAGTAAATTATTTGGTTAATGAAATATTAATGAAAAAAGCAGCGAAGTCCAGCTGTGGTGACTGAGGTGTTCTCCTTCTCTTTTCTTTCTGATGAGAGGGTGGGAGGCTCGCTGGCTGCTCTTGTTTTGGGAAATGAGAAGAAAGGACCTGGCCCCCGTGCAGAACCAAAGGTTAAGGGCCGAGTCTGGGCTGTAACGTATGGCGTGGGTTTCACGCTTCTTGGGAAGACTTCCGGCCACTGGTGTGGCTGTGTCAGGGTCCGGGAAGGGCACTCGGGTGCTGGGCACTGGAGATTCATGCCCGCTTTGCCTCTTCACCATAATGCTAATCTGAAGGTGACCCCTCTAGCAGATAACCGTCCCTTCTGGCCAGAGGAGGAGGAAAATGCCACTGAGAACAGCACGGAATAACTTCTCCAGCAAAGCAGCCCAGTAAGCCGGAGAGTCCGAGGCTGTCACTGTGCACAAGAGCAGGAGAGGGTTCTGTGCTGCAGATGGGAATGACACCCCCCCATGGCTAGGGCTAGGCTGCTGTACCAGTCCCAGCGCAAGCCTAGCCCCTCAGCTTGCCTGCTTCCCGCTGCAGTGCCCTGAGCACTGAAGTCCTTATCAGAGGCCTGCCTCCCTGGCACTTGGCAAACAAGATGTCGTACCTTTTAAACAAATAATTCATTAGGTAATTAAATTCAAGTGAGATTACCCTAATTAAATATACACTGCTGTTGAATCATAATTTCTATTGGCCTAGTTAAAGATGAACAGGCTCTTATTCCTAACCAAAAAAGAAAGAAAGAAAAAAAAGAAAACAGAAAGAGAAAAAGAAAGAAAGAAAGCTTTGCAAGAATCCCCTGTGACAAGAGGGCCAGATTTGAATGCTCTCCAAGGAAGTCGTTTCAAGAGAGAAAAGCCAGCAAACTCAGCGAGGGGCTGGCTGTGCAAGACTATGCTGGTGACTGCTCCTCAGTTAGAGAGACCCCGTGACGGCAGGACGCCCTGCTCCGGGCCGGGCCTCCAGAGCCCTGTCCTCCAGGCCTCAAGGGCAGCACAGAGCAGCAACAGCTAAAGGATCCCAGGACCCCAGGGAAACGCAGAGCGAGCGCCCACAAGGCTCCGCCCGCCCAGCTCCCCTTGGGCGGCTCAGGGCTGCCTCCCCACCCTCTCACCCAGGGCTTTGATCTGCGACTCTGGCTGGGGAGAGCTGACAGCCGCTGCATGGCAGCCCGGCTTTCATTTGTCAGACACGCGTTCGCTGGTGTACGGAGCAGGCTGCAACACCTGTACTGCAAGAATTTACATCGCCTTGCTCCGGGATGGCATTGATTTGGGACGGGTGAAATACAAACACAAACTAATTAAAAACTGCATAATGGAGCCCTACAGGAACACCGCAGAAAACAAATAAATACAAGCGCAGCTGGCACGGCAATTGTGCCTCTGCCCCGGAGCAACCGTCTGGTGACATCAAATTATAAACCCTGAAAATGCTCGCCGTCGCTGCCGATCCTGTCGGAGGCGTAATGGAGATGATCTGGTTAATTAAGGGGAGATTTATAAAATATTTACGTGTGTGCACACGCATGTAATGCGCTTCCTGTGACACTCGGGACAGCCACACTGTGGTCCTGCAGGCCCCACCGCGCTCGCTGGAGCTCAGGCCACTCTGAGGGCTTGGGGACCGTCCTACTGTGACGCCTGGGGATCATTCTGTGCCTCTGGGCCTGGGGGCTGGGTGTTGCCTCCCTGAGCTCCCGGCGACTCCAGCCACAAGCACAGAGGGCCTCACTCACGGGTCCAGGCCTCGAGGGGCCCGGGTGCCCAGACGGTTCCACGCGTGGGGCTGCAGTCTGCGCTCGGCGAGGGTCTCCTTGGACACCACCGACCACCCAGTACTTGTCCATGGCCCGGTCCCCAGCGGGTGACACCCCAGCTCCTACTGGGGAAAGGTGCAGAGTCCTGATGATCACTACCCAGACTCCTAAAGCAGGGCGCGGCCGGGCGGAGGCCGGGCTGGGGTCCACGGCACAGTCCACGCGTGGATGACAACGCGCAAGGAAGACAACCGGGGCCACATGGATGCGGGGGCCCTGACTCCAAATGTCCCCTCCCCAGCCTCCTCTTTCTCCTTTGAGGCCTCTGGGCAGCAGAACCTCGGAATCCTGGAGAATTATTTCGGGGTTTTCACTTAGAAACCCCCGGGGCCGGGGAAGACTCCGTCCTGGGAGGGTGGTGGACAGGAGGGCAGTTCTTGGTAAAGGACCCAAAGGAGCCCGAAACTTGAAAACCAGCGCGCCTTTCCCTACCAGCGCTCCCCGCCCGCCTTGCTGCGGCTCTGCCCACGCACCCGGGTGCACCGGGTCCCCAGCCGAAGTCCGGTCTCCTCCACCGCCGGCGTCAGGGCCCTCTGCAGGACTTGGCAGGGCGGAGCTCAGATCTCACCTCGCAGCGACCCCTAGGTCCGCTCAGGGAGGCGGCTTCGGAGGCGGTGGGTCGGGGAGGGGCCTGGCTCGCGGGTCCCCCGCCCTCCCGACGTCTTCCTCCGCTTCGCTGGGGAGCCCGGACCCGCTCGTCCTCTTGGGCCAGCAGAGACCAAGCAAGCCGGTGAGCCTGTTTGTCCCCTTGGAGACAGCCCGGGACCCTCTGAAAAGGATTCAGGCAGACCCGAGGCCTGCGGAGCCCTTCTCCCAGATGGGCCTTGGGGCTATGGGCCCCGCTTAACTGCTGGACCAACTGACGCCCAATGGGAGTGGCAGGGCCGCCTCGGAACTCCTGAGGCGCAGGGTCAAGTTTGTGGCTCCCACCCTGCCCTGCGCCCTCCCCTTCCCTCTTCCAGGGACAATTTGCAGGCAAGGCCCTCCCTCTCTCCCCCTCCCCCTCCTGTAGCTCCAGCTTGCAGGGGTGGGGTGCAGTGGGGAGTAACCCCAGCCCCTGTCCTAGTCAGAGAGTGAGGCAGAATCCACAGCCCTCGCCCGCTCTCGGGGGGGGCGGGATGGCCGGCAGCCTTGCTGGTGCCCAGGCCGCCTGCCCTGTGTTACCATACTGACATCGTGCAGGGTCCAGGACCCCTCAGCTCGTGCCCCCGAGGCGGGGACACTGGAAGAACCGTGGAGTCCGGACAAAGCGCACCCCACCCCTGTCCAGGCCCCAGAGCTTCTTCACCTCACAGCGGCTGGGCGGGACCAGCGGCCCTGCAGATGGGTGGGCAGATGCAGAGTAGGAGCAGGAGGTAGCAACCTGACACCAGAGAGGTGTCTGGGATGCAGATTCCACCTGTCCCGCAGGCCGGCCACCCTCCAGGGCTTACCTCACCTGTGTTTACCTGTCACCTTGAAATGCCACACTGGTGTTTGCTTAGCAGGACGCTGGAGAGACAGTCCCAGGTCCAGGCAGCGCTGGGGTTCCTTGGGGTGCAAAGAAGAGGGAAGTGGGCCCTGCTTGGGGTTCCTGGCGAGGAAGCAGGGTGGGGACTCCCAGAGCGGGCGGCGCCAGCTCACTGAAGGCCACCCGAAATCTGCCAAAGCCGGCACGGGGCCCTGGCCTTGGCCGGGAGGGGGGCAGCAGGGAGGGGCGTGGACAGGAAGAAGCCCCGGGCAGGTCAGAGAACCGAAGCTGGTAATTTCGGAGCGGGTAAGCAGTAATTACTCTCGCGGGTCACACTGTCGCTAATCCCAGGCGAGACTTCCTGGTGCTGTCCGAGTCCCTAGGCCTGGAGCATCCTCACAGCTGCAGACCAGGGAGCTGTGGCTCTGCTCACCAGGGACAGGGCCCGCCCCAGTGTAGACCCAGGACCAGGCTTCATCCTGATGCCCAGGCCGAACGGCCTCCGTCCAGGCCACGTGGCAGGTCCGCGTGAGGGAGAACCCCGCGGGCCGAGGGCGGACGCTGCGGGGCGCTGGGCCCGGGTCTCAGCCAGTGGCCTCAAAGCGGCCCGGGGGGGTCCCAGCTGGCGGCACTCGGCCTGCGGGGTCCTCGCGGGCTCCGCAGGCCGGCGAAGGGCACACTGTTTTGCCGGCTTGGCCCAGAGTAGCTCAGCCGCTCCCAGGCCACGGGAAGCAGCCTGGCCGTGCGCCACCGCGGGGTCCGCTCTCTGCTCACTCCGGGCTGAGGACGGAGCAGCGCTGAGGCCGAGGGAAGAGAGGGGCGCACGGGGCCGGGCGGTCCGCGCCTCCCGAAGTTCTCTCCGGGCCTCGCCTGCCCGCCGGGGACAGGCCAGTGCGCCCAGGCCACCCCGGTCCGCGACGACTCCAGCGCCGCCCCCGCGCGCGCAGTGCCTCCGCCAAGTTTTCACAACCGGAGGAGCCCGCAGGCTCGGCCGCTTTCCGCGTCTGCACGCACTCGGACGGCTGAGGCCGGGAGCTAAGGATGCCCAGAGGCCGCGGGGACACGCACCGCGCCTCGGAGCGGCGGCGCGGGGGGCCGCGGAAACCGCCAGGGGCTCTGCAGCGCCGGCCGGCTCGGCCCACAGGTTGTCGGCGGGCGGAGGGCGGAGGAGGCGGCCGGGCGGGCGGGCGCGGGCACCACGTGCTCGCCGGGCCGGCGGGGGCGGGGCGGGGCGGGGCGGGGCCTCGCTCGGGTGCCAATCAAAGCATCAACTTCAAATGTGTCTGAGCGCCCGGCGGCCGAGCGGAGGCGGCCGCCGCAGTCGGCGCGCGATCGCGGAGCCGGGCGCAGCCGGGAGCGGGGCGCCTGCGAGCACCGGGCCGAGGAGCAGCGACGGCCCCGCCCGGCCGGCCAGCGCCCCCCTCGCCCCGCAGGCCCGCCGGCCCGGAGCCCGCGCCGCGGACATGTCCTTCCCGCAGCTGGGCTACCCGCAGTACCTGGGCGCCCCGGGGCCGGGCGCCTACACCGGCGAGCGCCCGGGTGTCCTGGCGGCGGCCGCCGCCGCCGCAGCCTCGTCGGGCCGGCCCGGGGCGGCGGAGCTGGGCGCGGGCGCGGCCGCGGTCACCTCGGTGCTGGGTATGTACGCGGCGGCCGGGCCGTACGCGGGCGCGCCCAGCTACAGCGCCTTCCTGCCCTACGCCGCCGACCTCAGCCTCTTCTCCCAGATGGTGAGTGCGCGGCCCCGCGCCCCCGCCTCCCAGGCCCGGGCGCGCGCGAGGGCCGGCGACGGTGGGCTCGGCGCGGGCAGGTCCTGCTGGGGGGCCGGGCTGGGGCCAGGCCGCGCGCCCGGGCCGGGGAGCGGAGAGGCCCCGCCGAGCCATCGAGACCCGGGCTGGCAGGGGGTCACCCGAGTCCGGAGAGGCGGAGGGGCCGGGAGCAGGCCCGGGGGCGGCCCGATTCTCCCGGCGAGGCCTGGGCGCCTGGGAGGCCGCGGGCCCCAGCGGCCCCGCCCGGAAACCAGGGCTCTGCTCGCCTGGCTCGCCAGCTTGGATCTGGGCGGATGAGGCTCGATCCTCTCGGTCTTTGGCAGAGCCAGGTAGTTGTGGCGGAGTTTGCCGGAGGGATCCCCGGAAGCACAGTGGTGTCCGTCAAAGGAACCCGAACAATAGACGGTGTCGAATCAGGCGGTGCGGAGAGGTGTCTCGCGGCGTGGGTGCGAATTGGAGATTTAAAAATGCGGAGTTGAAATAAATGTGGGCGCTTGAACCGGTGTTTGCTTCTGCTTTGCTAAGTTGCCAAAGTTTTCATTTCATTTGCACCGAAAGAAAAGCACTTTTCTCCCCGAGTTACATAATGGAGGGAGGCTTCGAGAAAACAGTCCCTGTGCCTAAAATAAATGGTGCCCTTTCCGTCCCAGGTGTCCGATGGGGGAGGCAGCAGCAAATTTCATTCTCCATGGGGGCTTGGGCCGGCCTGGCCAAAGGCCCTTTTTCCTTCGCGCGATTGATTCCAAGGTCGTTGCTGCTTAAACTTCGGGCCGCTGGTGAACTGCGCGGAGAGCGGGCGGAGGAGAGAGGCCCCTCCTGCGTCGCTGCGGGCTGGATAGCAATTTCCAGGCACCCGGATCGTCCTCCATCCGTGACGCAGAGACCTGGACTAAATACCGCCGACGGTGTGGAGCCGAGCCGCGGGCGTGTAGCCCTGCAACTTTTCTTGTAGTTTTGAAAGCGAGCTTATTTCCCTGCAGCCCGCCCAGCTGCCTTTCGGCTCTCTCGCTGTCCAGAAAGAGCAGCCCCCATTTGTTCTGCGGCCCGGACCGCGGGGAAGCGAGGAGAGATTTACTAGGTGTCCTTTCAAAAAAAAAATTCCCCGCAGAGGCGAGACCGAAATGCCTCCCTTACAATTACAACCAAAACCAGTTGAAAGACGTAAGTTACACTTCGCTGAGACCCAGCAGAAACGAAATCTGGGCCCTGCGGCCCTCTGAGCAGCCTCAGTCACCAAACTGCTGTAATTAGTCAAAGAAATCTGCTCTTTATAAGTTTGTCAGGGTCCGGAGTGCCCCTTCGCTAGCGCAGTCACTGGATGGTTTTGATTTGGAGGATTCTTTTTTAGCCGAAATTTTGAATTCAGTTGCCAGCCACTTGGGAACCCTGCCTGAGCCTGCTCGGGAGGAAGGCAGGGAAGGAGTTATGCAGTGAGATCTGAGATCGCTCCTTTTGTCGCGAAGTGGGAAAGGGCAAGGCTGGATTTCTTTTACTAAGGGGAAAATATTTAAAAATGCTCTCCCCAAGGTGCCTGTGTTATCTGCAGGTCTCCAGCGGGTTCTTGGGAAGGGAGCCGAAATCCCAATGGGCCTCTAGGCCTGAGTTTCTAGCTGTTATGATTGGGTATTTGGAAGTCCAGAGATAAAATTGTGAGCGAGCGTCTGTCCGAGCAATTTATGGTGATAATGAGGCCTAATGAGGTTGTTAGAAAGATAAAATGTTATTTACCAAAAAACCTGATGGGATAATTTGACTTGCTGTGTTTTACTGCTGATGATAAAAAGAATATTGATTGCAGATAAAATCACTGCCTCTGTATGCCTGCAAACAGTTTGTGTTTGTCTGCTCCAGATCAAAGTCAAACTTAAGGGATAAAAGTAAGGAGAGAGAAGAGGCCCGGGAAACTGAACAGGTTTCCCTCTCGCTGCCGGCCAGCTCCTCAGGCCCTCCCTCGAGTTAATATTTTACAGGATAAGCCTTTCTTTTGTATTTTTCAAAAATGGTGCTTTTGTTATTGTTGTTGATGACCAGGATTAAAATTTTAAATTACCTGTCACCAGGACAGGCCTCTAAGTGTGGGCAAGCCCTTCCGTGCAGATTACTTTGAAGGTGAAAGGGCTGCTGGTTTCGTTTTAAATTGCTGGCGGATTTGCAGTTGGGAAACAAAACAAAACAAAACAAAAACAGCGAGAAGGTTTATTTTGATTGACCCCTTCAGGGCGGAAGGGGGGCTTGAGAACGGGGTGCCGTTTTTGGAGAAACTAGTTACAAGGGTTTGTCCTCCAGCTAGCTAAGATAAACTTGGAAATCGAGAGCTGCTGCTGGTAGACACCTAGGGGGCTCAGGGAAATTCCAAAGGGCCCCAGGCTCCTGCCCAGCTCATCTGGAAAGGCGGGCAGGCCTTTTACAGGGTTCTCTAGAGTGACCCCCCCCAAATGTCGGTGGGGGGCTCAGCCCCTGGAGTCTCAGGCTCTTTAGTAGTGGGGTGGGGGTCTTCCGTGCTGGGGGGGTCCAGGGAACAGCCTGGAGCCCCAGCGGACCTGGCACCCAGGGGGCTGCTGCCTGACGCGCCTAGCTCTGGGGCACTTGTGTCTCACTCCCCTCTCTCTTCTCTCGCCTCTCCTCTCCTCCCCTCTCTTGCTCCTGCCTTGGCTGCAGGGCTCGCAGTACGAACTCAAGGACAACCCCGGGGTGCACCCAGCCACCTTCGCAGCCCACACGGCCCCAGCCTATTACCCCTATGGCCAGTTCCAGTACGGGGACCCCGGGAGGCCCAAGAACGCCACGCGCGAGAGTACCAGCACGCTGAAGGCCTGGCTGAACGAGCACCGCAAGAACCCCTACCCCACCAAGGGCGAGAAGATCATGCTGGCCATCATCACCAAGATGACCCTCACGCAGGTCTCCACCTGGTTCGCCAACGCGCGCCGGCGCCTCAAGAAGGAGAACAAGGTGACGTGGGGGGCGCGCAGCAAGGACCAGGAGGACGGTGCCCTTTTCGGCAGCGACACGGAGGGCGACCCCGAGAAGGCCGAGGACGACGAGGAGATAGACCTGGAGAGCATCGACATAGACAAGATCGACGAGCACGACGGGGACCAGAGCAACGAGGACGACGAGGACAAGGCCGAGGGGCCGCGCCCGCCCGCAGCCCCCAGCGCCCTGGCCCGGGAGCGGGGCTCGCCGCTGGCGGCGCCGGACGTGCTCAAGCCCCAAGACTCGCCCCTGGGCCTGGCCAAGGAGCTCGCAGAGCCCGGCAGCACGCGGCTGCTGAGCCCGGGCGCCTCGGCCGGCGGCCTGCAGGGCACACAGCACAGCAAGCCGAAGATCTGGTCGCTGGCGGAGACGGCCACGAGCCCCGACGGCGCGCCCAAGGCGTCCCCGCCTCCTCCCGCGGGCCACCCCGGAGCTCACGGGCCCCCCACGGGCGCGCCGCTGCAGCACCCCGCCTTTCTGCCCAGCCACGGACTGTACACCTGCCACATCGGCAAGTTCTCCAACTGGACCAACGGCGCGTTCCTCGCGCAGGGCTCGCTGCTGAACATGCGCTCCTTCCTGGGCGTCGGGGCGCCCCACGCCGCGCCCCACGGGCCGCACCTGCCCGCGCCGCCGCAGCCACAGCCGCCGGTCGCCGTCACCCCCGGGCCACTCCACGTGGACAAGGCCTCGGCCCGCGCCAGCCCTGCGCCCCCAGGTAGGCAGGCCGGGAGGGGAGGGGGGGGCTCAGTCCCGGGCCGCGGCGCGTGCCGAGCGGGCGGGGCCGGGCAGGGCGCCCTTGACCAGCACCATCCTCCCCTCCTCTCCCCTCAGAGAGAGACCTGGTCCCCAGGCCGGACTCGCCGGCGCAGCCGCTCCAGTCGCCCTTCCAGCCGGTGCGCGACAAGTGAGTGCCTTCTTCGCCCGGGGCGGGGGCGGGGGCCGGGGAGGCGGGGCCCGGGCCGGGCTTCTCCGGAGCGGAGCGGAGGGAGCGGAGGGAGCGGAGCGGAGCCGGCGGGCGCGCTCCCTGACCCCGCGCCTGCTCGCCTTTCTCCGCAGCTCGCTGGCCCCGCAGGAGGGGACGCCGCGGATCCTGGCTGCGCTCCCGTCGGCCTGATCGGGGCCGCTCTCACTTCTCGGGGGGAGGGGAGGCGTTGGGGAGGGAGGGAGGGGGCCGGGAGCAATTACGACAAATATTAAGGACTGGTGTAAAGGACGACTGCGACCGGGACGTCAAGATCCTCTCACCCATCGCTTGCTGCAGAAAGGGGCTCGTCCGGTCCGCGTGGCCTCTCCGCCTGCGGCTCGGCTCGGCAGCGGTCACGCGCGGGCCGGCTCGGGTGGACGATCTGACCCCGCAGACGCCCCACGCGCTTGTGTCTTCTTTTCCTTTGTTTTCCTTTCTGTATATAGAGTGATTTCAGATTGTAAATAGCGCGTCAGCGAACTCGTCTAAATCATATATTTTTGTCTAATAAACTAAGTGAAACGAAGCCCCGCGTCCCCGCTGCTGTGTGTGCGCTTGCGCGCGCGCCGAGAGTGGGGGTCACGCGTGCCCGGCATCCTCGTGGTGGGGTCCCGGCAGTGGCCTGGGACCGGACCGGCCACGGAGCGATCCTGTGGGTCCCTGGTGGTGGCGAAGGCCGAAGTGGTGAATGTCGTCACTCGCAGTTTCTGCTTGGCAGTTGAATTCGGTGCGAGGTTCGGTTCAGAGGAGCTTTTATCTGGGGCTTGGCTTTCAGAACAGAAATGAGTTCAATTTTAGTGCACAGAATGATTTTGTAAAATTGGACCAAAGTGGGGGAAAATGAAAAGAATTTCCAGTCGCACCCCCAAAGGAGAACTTCAAATTCGAGATCAGTTTATACCTGGCTGTGTGGACAGTGTGTCCTGGCGCAGGGTCGCTGCGCAGTGTGGGGATAATGGGCATAAATACGCTTTGGATTTTTTTCGGTTACTTGGTTAAGTGTAACCTGGAGGAATGTGAGGGTCTTTCGAAGTCCCTGGACCGGCAGGAAGGGCTGCACTTTCGAGGTCGTGCAAGAAAGGCCTGAGGCTTTGGCCTGCCAGGGTCGCCCCTTTAGGCTCCCGAGCCAGCGGAGCTCTCGATCCCAGCTGTAGGCCGGGGCCGCGCGGGGAGGCGCGGGCGGGGCGCCGGCTGTGGAACCAGGCGCAGGGCCCTGGGGCGCAGATGCCTGCGGAGTCTCAGAGAACCGAGAACAGCAGCCTCGTGGAAACTGCCAAGCAGGATGCTTGGAGCCGCGAGGCTGCCCGACCTCCCCGGACGCCCCACCCGAGCCTGTGCTGGGCACCCGGTGCTCTCGGTAGAGCGCGCTGCCCGTGGACCCTGGGGCCGCTCAGCCAGCCCGAGCAGGGTCCCCAGCGCTCCTGCGCACTCTCGCGGGCCCCTACGGAGGGCGGGAAGGGTCCCCTCCCTCTGGGACTCCCCGGCTCCGGTGAGGCAGCGCGCCCCGCAGCGCTCTTGGACGCCGCCCGTGGGAGCTCGCGGGGCGCGGGGTTGGCCGGTGATGGAGCCAGGAGCAGCCGGGCCGCGGGTGGCCTGGATGGCCCGGCTGGGGCTGCGACCGGCGGCCAGCGGCTTCGCGGCCAGAATGGACGTGCTCGAAGCGCCCTCTATGGTTGGAAAGGGGAATGGGGCCTTGACCACGCCAGGCCGCTTTGGGGCGTGGTGCAAATGTGGGAGTCTTGGGCTTTGGAACCCCTTAGGGAAGCGCCAGGATTTGTGGCGAGCGACTTGCTCTGTGTCCCAGAGGTCGTGCCGTGTATGTGTGTTCCGGGGGTCTCCCGGCCTCCTGGGCAGGCTGCTGGCTTGGGGGAGTGTGGCCTGGGCGCCCCGCCCCACCCCCCAGCTGTTTAGCTGTTTCTCTGGGTGCAGCTTGGTGAGTCAGAGAGGTCCCCAGTCTGTCCCTAAAGGACTGGCTTCCTGGGCCTCCCCAGGCCAGAGGTCCTGGGTCGGGTCTGGACCTCACCCCGACAGCCGAGGCCGCAGGGCTCCTGTGTCCTTGGCCAGACTTCTGCTCTAAAGCTCCGTGGCCGCCGTGGCCGCCGTGTCCTGCACTTCTGAAAAAGAATGGTGACCCTGCTGGCCAGGCACCCGCAGTGTCCGGCACAGCCCTGCCCTGGGCTCCCGGAGGCAGCAGGTGGATTCCCATGGACGTCTGCAACTGGCTGGCTGGGCCATTGTCCCTGAATCAGCCAGGGCAGGCCGGCCGGGCATGCACACCCCACTGCCGTTCTTTTCTATTCTATTTTTCTGTGTAAGACACTTGAGGGCCCCAGGCCCATTGCATGGGTGCTGGGGCTCAGCCCACGGGACTGGTGGTCTCCATGTCCGGAAAGGTCCGAGGGGCCTGCTGAGAACTGGGCTTCCTGTGTACAGAAATCGGCCTTCCAGCCTCAGAATTATTTCACTCCATCAAAAAGCTAGAAATTAATTTTTGATCAAGCCTTAAAACGCATTTTGTCCTTTGTGAGCCATTTCTTCCATCTTTCTCAGCCCTGATCTACGGAGGCTGGTGGGGGGGCGGGTCACCCCATGGGTCCAGGGATTCCATCTCCTGAAAACCCTGCGTGTGGGGGGGGGAAGCTTGGGGGACTCTTTGCAGCTACCACAGAAGCTTTGCAAGTTCCTGCCGGGTTTCTGTCTGCCATGGAGCCTCCCCCACCCCACCCCACTCAGGACCCTTCAGGGTGAAGCGGAGGGGCTGAGGTTCCCCTAGAAAGGACACCTATGTGTCCAGAGCAGCCTCTGTTGCTGGTAAACCTTCTCTTCAGGAGCGTTTGTGTGGGGGGCAGGACGCACCTCTGGTCTCAGAGGCCCTGCATGGTGACAGAGAGGGCCAGCGTGCTTCTGCCCAGCCACTGAGGCACCGCCAGCCTTGAGCCCTCCCCAACCCTGACCCGCAGAGCAGCTGAGATCCCCCGCTCTCATCCTGCCCTCCCTCCTCCTCCTCCGATCAATTATATTCACCCACACATTTATCTCCCCTGCAATATGGAGAATTCATATTCATATCTCGGTTTTAGTGGTCTGACACTGATGAATGTAATCCTCGCCTTGGCTTGGAGGGGCAGCCACTGATGAATCATGCCCTGTGAAGTTCCCTTGTCCTTGTGCGTGGGACTCTGGCAGAGAGAGAGAGGGTGCTGGGGGCAGGGAGGCTGTGAGGAGGAAGGACAAGAAGACAGGACAGTGTAGGTGCCTGGGGAGGCCGTGCCCTGCCGCAGGAGGAGCAAAGGGCTGCCCTGGGCCCTGGCTGGAAACCTCCGTGCAGGTGCAGTGCTGTCCTATCAGTCCCCAGCCGCTGCCTCTCCTCCCTTTCCTGAGGTGCAGGCTGCCTGGTCTCACAAGGCAGGAGCAAGGATCCAAGATGGGTCCTTGGAAACTGAAGATGAGTTTGGAAACCGAGTTGTGCTCTGGAGAGTGGCAGGCCCTTTTCCCAGTGGCTACAGCATGTGGGCATCGGGAAGAGGAGGCCAAGCCCGGGGAGCATCAATTTGCTGGGCTGGGGACAGAAGTGGGTGGCTCCTCTGGCAGCTTTGGGCTTCGAGGCCACTTGGGCTAGGGCTGTACCAGGACAGACCAACCTCCCTGGGTTTCCGGCCACTTCCGGGATGGAGCGCTGGGCCAGGAGACAGCTGGGCTCTGGGCCTCTGTGGTCAAGGAGGAGCAGGCTGTGGGTCCTGACACTACCTGAGCTCCTGGTGGCCTGGGTCCTGTCTGGCTCCAGCCCAGGGAGGGAGTGGGAGGATGGGGGGCTCCTTTTGGGGTGGCAAAGCCCACCCACCTCGAGGGCTTCCCTGATGTGCCTGTGATGTGGGTTACGTGGAAGGAGGAAGCCCAGCGCCAAGGCGCCCCTCTGCCCCCTCCAACCCAGAAGTTCCCTGGCTAAGGCTGCTCACCCCGGGGCATCAGGTCAGCAGCCACCTTTTAGTAAAAGCCCACAATCCCAGCCCTGCTCAGCTGGGGTCCTCTTGGCCCACGGAGCCTTCCTGCCCTCTAATTATGGCTGTGCAGTTGAAAGGCCTCAAAGGTCACCCTGTGGGGGCTGCTGGGCCTTTTGTAGCCTGTGGACAGGCGCAGGGACCTTCCACAGGGAGGAGGACTCCGGAAGTACAGGGCTATCTGCCCTGCCGGGAGGCTGGACCTGTAGGTGGGTGGAGACCCCACTGAGCTCGGGATCCCACTTTCAGGGGCCCTCGAAAGTGGCCCGATTTGTTTCCAGATGGACACAAAAAGGTAACTTAGATGGAAGACAAGGAGTTCCTAGACAATATCTGTACATTTGTCTGTCTACCGGAGCAGGCATGGGATGTATTTTTAAACAGTCGCGTTTGATGGCGGAAGGGCTCCTGACAGCCCTGAGAGTCACCGTGGGCAGGCAGGGGCCGTGGAGGGGCTGCCTGCAGGGCTCACATCCCGGCCTGTGCTTGAGGGCTGGCGAGGAGGCAGCTCTGCTTCCTCCTGTGTGTGCCCACGTGGCTTCTTCATCAGCGTCCCTGCAGCGGGGACCCAGGGAGGGGAAGGACCCCAGGCCTGGCTGGAAGTGGGAACCAGCAGGGCACCCAGAGTCTGCGAAGCTGTGTGCTCCAGGCCCCTGCGCGGCAACCAACTGCCAGCCTGAAGGACAGGAAGGCTGGGTCCTGGGGGCGCAGCCTGAACTCGGCCCAGACCCTGGCCGTGGCAGGGCTAAGGGCAAGCCTCGGGTGGGCTTCTGCAGACCCGTCCTCTGATCTGTTAGCGGAGTCCCGAGCACTCTGGCCGTGGGGACACAATGTCCAGGCAGCACCAGGGCCCAGGGAAACGGGAGACTCACCACCAGACAGACACCCTCTGGGGAGCGCAGGGACATAGCCCACCACCCACTGGGCCAGGGCAGGAGGCAGGCTTGGACCTTCACAATTCAGGGAGGGAAGGAGCGCTTTGATTGCTCTTTCTGAAATTTCTATCTTGCTGTGCCCTCCGGAGTGGGAACAGCTCACTTTCCTGGCTGAGGGTTTGTGATGTGTAGACCCAGGCACTGGGCCCTTCAGTGCCCGGAAGGTGCCCAGGTGGCTGGTAACTGGACAATATGTGGACCTCTCCCCACATCAGTCAGTTTCAGGCTTGATGTCTCTGCTGTTTCCTTGTTTGTTGCTTCTGTAGCTTTGCTTGTTATTGAAATTTAAACGTATGCTTAACTGCCAGCTCCGTGGACAGCCGAAGCAACGTCTGAAAATATTAAATACATCTGCGAGATGGTGGGCAAGGGAAATTAACAAGGTGCTCGCTGCACTGAATGTTAAAAAGACCTCACAATGAAGTGATTAACATTTTTATGAATAAAATTAATCACGCATTAACTCTGCGGCACAGGACATCTGAAACCCAAATGTGGCCAGGGCATCCCCTCCTCCCTCCCTGCAGCTCTGAGGGCTCCTAGGCCCACAGCTTGGCCAACTTGGCCATCAGGGATTTCAGAATACTCACGCT